CAAAATAGATTAAATTTTGGGGTAATCTATTCAATGACACAGGTATATAAAAAAATATGTAAAAGCTGAGCATCACCCCAGCCTAGCCTATTACATACTCCATTTGCACTCAAAAACAGCCTTTGTGTGGGTTTTTCTAATGTCTGTATGACTTTTAGGATAGATTGTGATCATCTGTGTTTTTATGGTTATGTCTTAAGAATTGTATTGTATTGACTGCTGTCATTTAATCAGTTTTACATTTCCTTTTTGATCTGATCTCATTTTTTTTGATTACCTTCCCGTCTGTGTTATAGCCCGACTGATAATGAATTTCTGAGGCAGATATAGTTACAGATATTTGCTAGTTAAAACAAACAAAAAACAATGGTTACATTTTCTAAACATACACACACACACACCCACACACAATATAAACAACCTTGATACGGATCCCTTTGATTCATTTTAATAAATTGCAATAACTGATATATTTGACCACATTATAATATAGAAATGTGAATTATGGCAGCTTTAACATTTGCATGCACAATACACAGTAAACAGGATCATTTAGAAGTGTAAAAAATGTACTTGTCAGTGCTTTCAGGTGGACAAACTATGTAATTCTAAATGACCTCAAACATAATTTGACATTTCTGTACTACAATTTCATGTTACTTATCGATTTAACATATACACCATACGGATACATCTGTTGTATGCTAATATTGGCTTACGTATCGGTCTTGCTTTGGTCTATGTTACAAATTGTGTAACTTGTATGTTGTATGTACTGTGTGCCGCCGCTGCTGCTGCTGTTGTTGCCAAGTTGCACATGTAAAAGAGATTTTTAGTCTCAGTGAGGCACTTTTCTGGTTAAATAAAGTTATTATTGTCATAAATTAATATAAATGATAAAAATAGTTTAAAAAAATAGAAAAACATAAAATTGCACAAACATATACACACATGCACCTACACACAATCCAGGTAAATATAAGTGTCTGCACTCAAGGGTTGTCAGATTATGTTTTAATTAAATCTTTTGAATTACACACCTTTACTCTGTTTTATCAAATCTGATAAGGCCACAAAAACTGACCCCCAGACAGCTGACAGAGAAAGATGGCATATTTGGGTAAAAGGCAGCTTATGAAAGCTTATATTTAAGACATGATTTAATTAGGGTTGACACATTTCAGTGAGTTGTCGGGCATTTTGATGTTTTGGTTGGACTCAGAGGAGGTAAATAGACAAGGGTTACTCCTGTGAGATGGCTCTGTGTGTGGATGCGTTTACCCCGTAGTGCAATACACAAAAGCTTATGTGTATTCATGAGAATGTAAATGTGTATCATTTCAGTGGTGAACTTTTCCCTAGATAGTAAAGGTAAATAAAATGGATATATGTGTCAATGCTTCTCTGAGCATGAGCCTTCAGCCGTGTTATTACAAAGAGCCTTACATCACTCACTGCTATCAACTTTGGGGGTCCCTTGGAAATTAATTTAGATCTTTCAGTTGGCCCCTCCGGCTAGGTTCAAAAACACTACCAGATCTACATGAAAGTGGCTGCATTTCTTACATTTCTAAAGAGTTCTCCTACTTCCCGTTGTGTGTTACTCCTGAGAAGGAAAGAAACAAAAATCTGGAGGTGTGATTTTTTTTTTTTTTTTTTTTTTTCCATTTTTTGTCCCTTTTTTCCCTTGACTACCCAATTAAACAGAAATGTTTTTTGACGGGTGCTGTCTTGATGATGCTTTACTGGGGGCAACAGGTTCCATTTGGAGCGTGGTGTTAGAAAGCACAGTAAGGCTGCACTGATGTGCTGCAACAGTCTATTTCATTTTATTGATAGCCATATTGCAGGACAGTACACAGAGATGATTCATGGCTAAAATAGCAAGCTGTGTCGGAAATCCTCTGCCCACCAACATGGTGTTGAGATGCCTCTCACGTCTCACTGAAGCACTTTAAAAATTAGAGAGAGAAAGAGTTAATACCTTTGCATGGCCAACGAGCACCTGACTGTGCCTTTTAATGGTTTTTTTTCTGTCTACTCTATATGTGCAGGTGAAATGAAGCAAAAAAATACACAGCAAAAGAAAGAACCTAAGACAGAAAGATTGAAAGAATGACAGAAAGACAGAAAAATAAGGAAGCAAAGAAGGGAAAGAAAGCGACAAGAATAGAACGTTAGGATAAAAGGATGACTAAACCCAACTCCTCGGAGGAGGAGAGCCAATCTGAAAAATGATTGGTTGACTTTCCTGGGGCAAAGCTCTCTTTGCTCACATCAATAAAACATAAACATGAATAAATGCACTGCTTTTGGCCTTCCAGGGTCCTTACTTAATTTCATGTATGCAAGTGAGCGATGATACGCATGGAAAATTGTATTTACCTAGAAGGCTCAAATAATTCTGGAAGCCATTTTGTGTTTGTTTGCTCCCCAGTATTTACATAAAAGCAGGGCTGCACCATAAACTCTTCGAATTTGCTTTTAATGCTTCTTCATTTGTCAGCTCTTCGTAGTTTAAAGGAATTCTTCAACCACAAAATGACCATTTGAATATCATGTCCTCCCGGCTTGTTTCCTTGAATTTATGAAGAAAACTGTTTTTTTTGCTTTCATCCACTGGGAATCAAAAAGCTGAGAAAAGTCTTCATGAATTATAATAAATGGCTGTGTTTAACAACAGCAGAACTATATTAAAATGTGTTTACAAACATTACAACTTGTAGTATAATCCAATTCTCATTTATGCACTGCTCACTACTTCATGCATTTCACGCTAAAACCTTACTATTTAAAACACTTGTAATGCTGCATAAACAGTCTCCCGCTTGCGCAGGTAGTTTCTCGTCTGTGCAAGTCCGAAGTGTTTTAAATTGTTCGATTTTAGGGAAGATGCGTGTGTTTGGGAAGTTGTGCAAGTGCGACTGGACAAATGAGACTTGGATTATACTGCATGAGTTGTGTGGGAGTTTGTAAACGGATGTTACCATATTACTTTTGCTGTTGTCATATGTGGAACCCATTTCAATTCTTCAAGAATTTTCTCTTTGTTTTGGATTCTTTTGTTGAGGCATGCAAGATTAACAAAGTCTTCTTCAAGGATTCAAGGTATCACTTGATATACAAATGGTCATTTTGTGGGTGAAGTATTCCTTTAAGTCACACATCTGATGAGCAAGTCCTATGCCGTCCCTCAGCATTTGCATGTAAAGTAATTGCTCCCTATTGACTTTAGCCACAGATGCACAGCTATCAATAATGTTGAAGACATGGGAACACACAGTCTCCAGTGATGTACTCTTGATGTATCTACTTAGGGACAAATCAACCAGACAGTCATCTGCCTCACTAGTCTGTTGGTCCCTGAGGTAGATCTCCAGTGACCCATTTCAATGGGTCAGCTTTTGTTAATGAGCAGACAGCACAAAAACGTTGACAACATTTAAGACAGAGCTCCTAATGACAGCTTGGGTGCTGAGAGGCTTTTTGTCATCAAGCGGTGCCATTTCGGGCTATTTTTGGACTCTGTTTTACATCCTCAACTAAATTCGTGAGCATTTGATTAAATTGGATCCATGTGCAAGATGGTGCAAGTGATTGAAACCCATAAAACTGAACATTTATTCGTTGTTCACTCAGTTAATTTGCAGTGCTGGATATTTGAATCCCTTTGGTTGGGAATGAATCGCCTCTAGTTTGACACTGATGAAATCAATTCCCGATTCAATTTACCTCATAGTATTTGTAATGTCCCACGGCACAGAGTCATTGTTGTTAGCAAAAGAGAACTGAAGAGACAAGTGATCAACAGTTTGGCAGAGTTTTTCTCTCGTATCTATTTTTCAAAGCAGGCAATTAGGCCTAACATCACAGCCACTTAACTAAGTCTGTACTCCAAATTGATTCAGACTCCAGCGTTGGACCTTGCAGACATGGTGCATTTAGTTATGCAAATGCTTATCTCTCTGTGTGATTGGTTAATTAACCTGTAATGCAGATAGTCCCTAGCCATGCACAGTAGCCGTTGATGGCTAAATTGTGGGTCAATTGGTTTTTTAACATTTTCAAAGCAGGCTTAGAGGCATGTCTTTGTTCCGCCGAGTCTTGTGTGACTTTTCTCGGTTTAATGACTCGTTCCGTGGGTCCCTTAAGGTTAATGTGTTTAAACTCACTGTAATTGAGCTTTTGACATATCTTTCAGGCCTTTTCAAAATTCGTCATATTATGCCATGTTCCTGCTCCTTGATTGTTATTATCTACCATTCCTTCTTCCGCCCTCCATGCCCTGTCCTAAACTCTATACCGCAACCCCCCACTTTCTATTCTGAGTTATGAGCGTCCCCATGGGAAGTCATTTATAATGCCACTGGAGTGACAATAATTCGTTTGCACACCATTTCACTCTGCCCTCTGTGCCTTGGCAGGCTTTTATGGGCCACATTTTGGTTTCCCCCAGAAACACATTGTCCAACCATCCTGAGAGAACAAGCAAAAGCATTTAGACTGCAACTGGACGTCTTCCAATGAGTAAAATAAGTGACATAACATCTTCCAACAACATTTGAGGTCAACATTTGTTGGTGCTTTTGCAACTACTTTACTATTTTGAAGGTAAAAGCAAGCATAAGGGGAGAGGGTTGTGCTCTGCAGCCAGTGACTGCATATTCTTTTCAATGTTCAGTGAACAATTATGTTCAGATTTTGCTGTTATGTGGGTATTATTCCACATGAGATACAGACACAATTCTTGACAGCCCACATGGATTTTTTCTTCAGATCCTGTCACCAGCAGACTGACATCTCCTGACAACACGAGGATCACTTGTCATACTGGATAACATACTGTATGGGGCTGATATTTATTAATGAAGGGATTTAGCAGACATGTTGAATTCATTCCACACCATTAGATGTAGACAGGTAATGAAGAACTTATGCAAAAGCTTTTTAGTGCAGACCTTGGCATCTAATTCAGCATGTCTGTTGCTGTTATGTTGTAGGTGATCCTGATCTTGACTAAGCTGTATGATCTTAACCTGGGTGCTGTTACTGAGAGCTCACTCTGGAGGTAAGTTTGTTTTTAATCATTGCTATTTCCCCCGTTCAATCTAAATACAAAGGTTATGGCATCATTGCAAGGATTTTATGAAAATGCAAAAGCACAGCCCTAAAAACAATAAGGATAATATATTCATAGAGAGTGCAGTGTAGTGTAAGTGTGATTTATAGTGTTCCCACTTGCTAGGATACGAACAATCGAGTTACACTGGAAGCCAATATGAAGTTTGTTTTAATAAAGCAATCTGAAGTAGTTCAGAATGAAGCATCTCCTCTTTGCTTCCTTCAGTCTTATAAATAATAATCTTTTTAAAAAAAAAAAGGCCCAACCTATTTTCTGTCCATCATCAACAAAGAACCTGTTTGAAAGGCTATTTTTGAAAGATAAACCGGAAGACTTATCTGAAGGATTCTTTGTTTATGTCTCTTTTCCTCTGACCTAGAAACCTCCTGATAGTCTTTTGATTGATTGTTATCCGTAACCTTTCGATTCATAAGCAATTTACATGCAATTTCTACTGTATAGCCACAGTAATTCCATTCAGGGTGTATTGAGAGGTGAGTTACAGTGCCCTGTCGTATCATAAATAAGAATGGAATTCATTAAGGATTATACCACAGAGGCCAATCCAGCCCTCTGATATGGCTTCTTTCTCACCTCTCCCATAGCCTGCAGAGAACTCATTTCACACTGAAATACATGTGAAAAAGAGACCATCAGTCTGCCAAGCATACAGTTTCAAATTAATATCTGTTTCACTAGAGGCGCCGCTAAGATTTACACCCAACTTGACACATTTTGAAATCCCATATTGTGCACAGGAGGTCTTCCATCATCAAGGTGTCTGCTTAACAATAGCACCACGAGTAAATTAGAGTGTACCTCAGGGGGTGCACGAAGGCTCTTAGTATGGGTATTAGAAAAACAGAGATTTGAATGTTATGAGAAGAAACTGGAGTAAATGATTTCTTTGATAACACAATAAATGATTTATGACTACAGCTACGGGCCACTCTTGGTGGCAGAATGCAATGTGCAGATCAATGGGTGACATGCAGAGACTTTCTAAACAAGCATCAAGTCCCTTTTTGCGTTTTTAGATGGCTACCCTTTCTGCTAAAGAAACGTCACAATGTAATAAAATAATTTAAAAGGCTTTCTTCCACAGCCTCAATCAAAGAGAGATATGCCAACTGAAAGGAGTCCTTAAACACAAATAAGTTTGAGGGGTAAGTCTTTGTAAACAATGTCAACACCAAATAGGACGATTCAGATTAATGCACAGACAATGATAGCAGACACTGGGTATCTATCCAATTATGCAGTGAAATTACATTTGGAGGCACTCAGGTAGAACTGGGAGTGTGGATTGGCTGTTTGTGGCGAGGAGAAATATGAAGATTGGGATGACAAACACATCTACCCTTGTCATGGGATGCATGGATTATAAGGAATAAGCAAATCTGTGATGAACAAGTAACTTCACATGATGCGACAGACCTAAATGTCTAATTTAATTAACAAACTGGCCATTTAATTAATAATGACCAAGAACTGTGTAATTTATTCTCATTTATTGTTCTCTTTTTAACTTAAACCTGTATTTGTCAGCGTATTTGTGTGCTAATTGGTTGCGCTATAGAAACAGAAATACCACAATTACGCTTCCCCTGCTGAAAAGAAAAGTGAATACAAGAGGATGAAACTAAATATCTAATTCAGTTGAAAACAGAGAGAACAAAAGGCCACTAATTTAAGATTTGAAAAAAAAAAGGATTTCACCACTGGTCTTTAAATTCCTTCCTCATTGTCTTCAATGTACAAATATCTACAAAGGAGGGAAGGAGAGTAATGGTCTATCTACTGTGAGATAACAATGTGTTCATCGCTCAGAATGTTCTTATATTCAAGGACTATGCTCGTGTTGGATGTTTTTGTCTTTCCACTGCAATTTGCATTTAATACATACACTTACCACTCACCGGCCACTTTATTAGGTACACTTTGCTGGTACCTGGTTGGACCCCCTTTTGCCTTGAGAATTGCCGTTTTTCTTCACGGCATAGATTCAACAAGGTGCTGGAAACTTTCCTTAGAGATGTTGGACCATATTGACATGAGAGCATCATGCAGTTGCTGCAGCTTTGATGCGAATCTCCCGTTCCACCACATCCCAAAAGAGCTCTATTGGATTAAGATCTGGTGACTGTGGAGGCCATTCGAGTACAGTAAACTCCTTTTCTAGAAACCAGTTTGAGATGATTTGAGCTTTGTGATATTGTGTGTTATCCTGCTGTAAGTAGCCATCAGAAGATGGGTGCACTGTGGTACTTAAGGGATGGACATGGTCATCATTAATACTCAGGCAGTAACACCACCACCAGCCTGAGCCTGTGATACAAGGCAGGATGGATCCATGCTTTCAAGTTGTTCATGCCAAATTCTGACCCTCCCATCTCAATGTGTCAGGAATCGAAACTCATCAGACCAGGCAACTCTTTTCCAATCTTATATTGTCCAATTTTGGAGAGCCCATGCCAATTGTAACCTCAATGTCCTGCTGTTAGCTGACAAGAGTGGCATCCGGTGTGGTATTCTGCTGCTGTAAACCATGTGCTTCAAGGTTCAACTGCTGTGCATTCAAAGATACTCTTCTTTATAAGTCGGTGGTGACAAGCGGTCATTTGAGTTTCTGTTACCTTTTTATCAGCTCAAAGCAATCTGGCCATTCTCCTCTGACCTCTGCCATCGGTGCTCAGATGATTTTTTTTTGTCTTTTTTGGACCATTGTCTTTGAACACTAGAGATTGTTGTGTGTGAAAATCCCAGAAGTTCAGCATATTCTGAAACACTCAAACCCGCTCATCTGGCACCAACAACCATGCCAAGTTCAAAATCACGTAAATAACCTCTTCCCCATTCTGATGTTTGGTTTGAACTTCATCAGGTCGTTTTGACCATGTATAAATTGAGCTGCTGCCACGTGATTAGATATTTGCTTTAACAAGCAGTTGAACAGGTGTACTTAATAAACAGGTGTGCTTAATAAAGTGCCAGGTGAGTACATTATTGTTAACCATATTTTAAAGCATACCCGAGGTCCATGAATTGATATCCGACCTTGCAGGCAGCCACTGGTTTCATTTCATTGGAGCATGAAATTCACCTTGCAAAGACTTGGTTGACACATGTGAAGTGGATATTTAACATGATGTGTTTGTCAAAGTTAGTTTGCTGAATGGTATTGTAGTTGTGAGTAAGAAATGCCTAATGAATATGTCAACCTTTTAATACAGAACGCTACCAAACATGCATCATGATTGTCTTGATAGCCGTATTCCCTCTTGGTTGTCAAAAAAAAAAATAATTGCAACACTCCGGAGCTTCCTTTAAATGCATTGGTAAGGGGGAGTTTTCAGATTATTATGCACTAATGCATTAATTCAATTACAAAAAACAACAACCAAAAACAATATGCTAAAGGTACCCTGATGTTTTCTCATAAACACCGTTATGTAAACATTCAGTAGTGTTCATTGTGTGTATGTTTGAGGCCAAACAAATCTGTTGAATGCATTTCCTTCATAATAAAACATTTTGAATTTGATTTATTTAGATATTTTGAAACCTGCATTGTTAAATCCATTAGTTAACAGTCTTATACCTTCCTTTATGTCTTTTATAGCATGCGTGCAGAATACATTTCCAATACATTCTTAGCAACTTTCTCACTAGATTTGGTTACTTGCAAAAAACTGCCCAGCAACAAATCTATTCAGACTGTCGTCCTGCTTTGTTTTTGCTGTAAATGATTTACTTGGCTATTTCTCAAATTTTTTATTTTGTCTCAAAAAGCAGAGTTTAGGTCCTCTCTAGTTACGATATGTATACAACATTCTAGATGTACGGCTTTTGAAATAAAAGGTAGATTTGGATGCATATTGGTGATGTAATAGCAGCTTGAAAAATAATAATGGCAAATGTTAAAGCTTAGCATCAGTTAAGTTTAGCTTTATTTTTTCAAAGTTGTCTGTATGCAAATACTTTAGTAGTGATGTTACATATATACAAATTAGTTTCTGTCGTAATCTTGCAACATCCAGCAAATTTTGGAGCAAACTTTAGCTACTTTCATTGAAAATGGTTGGAAACACAGAGCACAACGTACAAACAAAATGGCCACAAACTCGTTAAAACATTTCTCACTTGTCAAAAATTCCACAAGGCTCCTTCAGCTGTTATTTATTTAATCAATTTAATTTATGTTAAATAGTATCTCTGCAACAGTAAGTGACAACTTGAAAGCTTTGCATTTATTCAACCGCCACCCTGTGTTCAAATATGTTGGTTGAAGAAAGAACAGACTTTTCCATTAGTGAGTGTGTTTCTTCCGTGTTCTTTTTTTAGTCCCATTTGAGCACCTACAGTAGAATACCGGTGGAGTAATGACAGCACGCTTTTTCAGTATGTCACATTTCTAGGAGGATTGCAGAAGTGCTTTATAAGAGCATCAAAAACAAAAATGATACATTAGCATGAAGCTAGACAAGTTGGATGTCTGAGAGGTAGAAAATCCAATCTGAAAACTTATTCCATGGAGATGCAGTCACGCGCAGTATAACTGATTAGCAGTTTATGGTCTAAAACATGCTAAACCCCTGCTATGGTGCTTTAAAATCTGTCTCAGGAAGGTCTCTAATGTATTTTTCATCAAACATTCAACATGTCGTTTTTGTTTACGTCCAGATCCTCTGATTATGGAAGCACCTACACCAAACTCAACGACAAAGTGGGCTCAAGGACAGTTTTAAGTTACCTGTACGTCTGCCCTACCAACAAACAGAAGGTCAGCATTTCCCTGTTGCTTTTGTCTCTTTGATCTCTTGCAAAGTCATTTCTGATATCAAATTACAGTTTTTTAAAAAATTGCTGCCAAATGACGGTATCGCTGTCTCTCTCTCTCTCTCTCTCTCTCTCCCTCTCTTCTAATGCCATATCCTTTCTCTGGTTCTCTGTACTCTAGATAATGATACTTAGCGACCCAGAGGTAGAGAGCACTGTTCTCATCAGTTCAGATGAAGGGGCAAGCTTTGAGAAGCATCCCATTAACTTCAACATCCTGAGCCTGCTCTTCCACCCTGTACAGGATAACTGGATACTGGCTTACAGTCATGACAGCAAGGTAGCTTCTGAGTGAATGCACAATGAAGATAATGTATGGTGCTTTGTTTAAATGTTTTTTTTGGATGATGTGATGATGCCTGTGCTGCTCATTAATAATATATTCCTCCTAAAACCTGTGTGATGAAGATCGGCCTAATTTTATCTTGCAGCTGTACAGTTCAATGGACTTTGGGAGGAAATGGCAGCTTATTCACGACAACGTGATGCCAGGCCGATTCTACTGGTATGATTATGTGGATCCTATTTTTGTGTAGTGATTGATTGTAATTTGCATAATTATAGTGTTCATGACCCTGTGCTGCCAGAAGGATCCAGTGACCTCTTGTCAAAAACAGATCTTCATGGCAGTCAAGCATAAAACTATTATATCCACGTCACGTAGACCTGAAGGAATATTATCCTTTTTTTTCTCCATGGCACAAACATGACATGCTGTTTTTGCTGTTGCTGTCATTTAGTAATCTCGACTGCTCGAGCACAAGCCAGTGAATATTGATGTGAGCCCGTTTATCCCTGTTTGTCATGGTACGTGTCAAACCCAAGAGTGGTTTCTTGCCATAAAAGAAAGGACATTCTTTGGAGGACATCCTCTCCACATGCATGAACAGCAAGACGTTAGATAAATAAGAACAGCGCAGCAGGTATAGCGGCACCCGAAACAATGCATTATTTGTCCTCTTGAAAACCATTACTTTATGCACATTATGGGAGACAGTTATTTTTCAAAATGGTTTTGCCGTCACCTACAGTTTCATAACAACACACATTTGCTATGGTGGATATTTCTGGGAATAGCTGATGTCTGTTGTTGTTTTCCTGTGTTGATGCTTTGGTGAAGTGAGATTAATTGCAGCTGGCGCTGCAGATTCTACACTGACTGTTTTACAGGAGATGAAAACATCTTTCTATGGGTTTTTACAGAATAGTAATGTCCATCTACAGCTGACACACAACCTGGCCTCCCCCTCTTTTATCTAATTTTCCCTTTCCTTCCCCATCTCCACTTCTTTCTGCTCCTCTCTATCTTCTCCTGCTCACGCTCTTTCAAGGGCGGTAATGGGGCTGGACAGTGAATCGGATTTGGTCCACATCGAGACGCGCATCGCAAAAGGCCGTGAGTGCTGCACTCAGGGCTGCTACAGTAGCAACACCCACAGGACCCTTTGCCTCTCATTTAGAGCGAGGTCACAGGGAAGATGAGACCCTTTCTGTTGTTCAGATTGGCCCCTGAAGTCTAGTAAAGCAGAATAGGTGTCTCCTGACAAAAAAGGAGAGTTTTAGTGGGTTGATAGATGTTTCTTCTCTTTAATCTATCCCCTGTGTCTCATGGACAAACCTCAACTCCCCCCTTCTAAACGGCATGGTATATTCTGTCAAACCAATTATAGGGGTTTCCTGCATTGGAAAAGATATTCGCAGCCCTTCCTGTGGTGAGAAAAGCTGCCTCTGAATTATTAGAATTTTTTTGTAGTGTGACACACTACACAAGTGTGCACAAGTACTGCATTAGTCATGAATCTCAGCTGATTTTGAATCGCAAAAAGTCCTACTGCCTACTGTAGTATTAGTTGTTGAATTTTTTCTTAATTTTTTCTACCGTTACCCAACTTAAAGTTGTTTCAGAACTGTGAACTTATGACTATGCGTTCTGTATAGCAGCTGCATACAAAGTACAGTTTGATGGTGTAAATGCTTGTAATTTACTTCTGATTGATTTCCTATCGCCTCTCTCCAGGCGCCCAGTATGTGAAGTGCAGAGCCCAACGATGCACAGAAGGCAATAGACTGTACCTCTTTCCTGGACATGTAGACACCAACTCACTGGTTGTGCAGGATGAATACGTTTTCACACAGGTTTGCGTAGTAATAGATACATTTTCTTTTTACTATAGGCTACATTCTGTCTCTGTGAAGTTAGATTTTCTTGATTTTTTATTTTGGTATTTTGTGCATCCACTTTATTCTTCTCCATCAAAACCCACATAATGGCTTTCCCCAACACACCTGTTCCCCACTTACCCAATGTGGGTTTTGATTATGTTTTGTCTCGTTCATGCGAAGGCACGCTCAGTGTTTGCGTTTACTCACAGACATACTTCAAGCCTGAAAAATGTGTTTGCGAACTGAGATCACTAGAATAGGCAGGTTGGTGTCCTTATTATCATTCACTCTGACTTTGACTCCAATTAGACACCGACAGCCAGGGTCATTATTAGGAATCTAATTTTCAAATGCCCTTCGCTGTCATTGGTTTTTATCCACAGCTAAGTCATTTTGTCTCTGCTGGTCAGCCTTGATGCAGAAATCAAATGATATAGTTTTCTCGGGCTCAGTGTGTACTAAATCATTCTGCACTCTCCCATTTTGAATAAACACCCCTAAATGTTTACTGTTCATATTTGAATTTATTCATCCACAGATTTAATCTTTTTGATATGATATGATCTTGCAGCAGCAATACTTTAGGGTGACCCAGTTTCACTTTCAACACACTTAATCCACAGACTTGATTGGAATGGCTGTGATGTAAGAATGAAAATGTATGAAAAAAATACATCACAGCGTGATTCAGAAATGGTGATTCAATAAAATGCCCAAATTGCATTTAGCCGAGATGAGATTGACCGTCAAGGCAGAGGCAGACGTGAGGAAGATGTCTGGTGAAAATAACTGGACACAGAGAGTGTCTGCGCGGCTCTGTGGTGGCACAGATGACTTTCTTGTGACTTTCATTGCTCGGGGCAGTTGGATTTAACTTGACAAAGAGTAATGAGGTTATCGATTGGGCTACAACGAAATAAGCAGTCTTCAACACCTCCAAAGTCTCTTGGGAGAGAAGGAACAGCCAAGTGCAACATCCTCAAAAATGTGGCCTGGGAAAATGCAGCTCATTGATTTTCGATAGATTATTCCATTAGAGCCCTAATGTAGTGTGTTGGGGGACAAACACCATCCTTCTAGTTGATTAGAAAATAAGCAATCAAGTAGTGTTACCCTGCCTGTTAGTGGATGGGGAAAGTACATTAAGATCTTCAAGACACACTGTAGATAAAGCCAACACAATTTTCAGTGCCTCTTAGCTTTAGACTAATCGAGATAATGATAATTTATCTTGTGCATTTTAGTCCGCTTTTGACACTGTTGAGTAAAATTGCCAACGTTTTATCAAGTCAGTCATGTGTTGCAAATTAATACAAGTCTAAGTACTATGCAGGAAAAACTCATGGCATCGATCAAAATGCGAATAAAAGAGTTGCTGACCTAAAATATAGAAAAACAAGGTGTTAGGGGACGCAAAACTACAAAAAAAATGTACATATGGTCTATTTAAAGAATGACAAAAGCTTTCTTGACTTCATTGCAAAGGTAACCAAGTCAGGACGAGCCAGCTACTTTGTCTCCTACATGAGAGAATCCTTCAAACGGATGAAATTACCTAAATATTGTCTACCAAAGGTAAGCTACAAAGACACCAAATAACTATCAGATAATTTAAAAAAATATCATTATCATGAAGAAACAAGATTATTGTTTTGTTTTTGTAGAGTACAAGTCGTACAGCTGTTATTTTGTGAAGAAGAGTCACACTTTATTAAAAAGCTCTTGAACAGTTTTTTTGTCTTTCTCACCCATCTCTCTATCTGTCTTACTTTCTCTCACCAACGCCTCCATGCAGGACATGCATATCATCAGTACGGATGAGAAGCAGGTATTTGCTGCGGTCCAGGAGTGGAATCAGAACAACACCTACAGCCTGTATATCTCAGACTCCCCCGGGGTCTACTTTACACTTTCATTAGAGAACCTCAGAACCAGCAGAGGACCCGGCGGTAACCTACTGGTTGACTTTTATAAGGTGCGTAGTTAGTCTTGTTCATGGACTGCTGCTGTCACTTCACAACTAATGCCCCTTCAAGTTATTTCACATAGTAGGAGAAAACATTTGTTACTTTAATAACCTGTGATTGGAATAAAAGTAGGGCAGCAACTACCAATTGTTTTCATTATCAATTAATCTGGCTATTTTTTTCTCCATTAATTGATTAGTCATTTAGTCTATACATTTGTATCAGATTTCAATCAGATCACGAGGGGACATATTCAAATTGCCTTTTTTAATCTAATCAACAGTATACAATCAGTGATATAAAAAAATCTGAGAAAAGCAGTACATCCTCACATTTAAGAAACTCAAACACAGTGGTGGAAGCACATTTACTCAAGTACCGTATCTTAAGCACAGTTTTATGTACTTTACTTGAGCATTTCCATTTTATGCTGTGATACTTCTACTCTACTACTGTTGAGAGGTAATAAATATCCACTTCATTTATTTCACAGTTACAGTTACTAATTACTTTTCAGATTAATATTTTACTTACAATACATCTGATCAATCTTTAAAAGATGGTGCACTGTGTTACAGATTAAACTACGCAGCAAAGTGTTAAAATTAGTCCCACCACAACCAGCTGCAACATTTAAGTACTGCTTACATGTTAATGCATTAATAACAATGAACTACAATCAAAACAGTGACAAGCGCCTTTCTGTGTAAAGCATTTTTTTCTTTTGATACTTTTCGTACATTTAGCTGATAATACTTCTGTACTTTTGAATATTAGGAAAGCAGGACTTTACTTGTAACATGAATACTTCTTCCACCACTGCTCAAACAATTAATTGTTCATTATTCATTAATTTCCTGTTCATCAACTAACCCAGTAATCCTTTTAGCATGAATATGATTGTTACATCCTGAAAATATTTCAGATGATCATCAGCATCATTGCTGTTTTCTTTTGTAGGTTGAGGGGATAAATGGCATGTATCTCGCCAACAAACTGCTTGACAGTCATGTCAAGACTTTCATCACATACAACAAGGGACAAACATGGGCCCTGTTGCCAGCTCCTGCCACTGATGTGGCAAGAAATAACCTTCACTGCATTGTGGTGAGCTTGAGCCTTTGGGCAGGGGTGAAATGTATGCTTATTCATGCGAAATTAATCTTATGACATATATCATTCATCAAATGTTTCACCCTCATCAGCTGTGCTGTGGAAGTTCTTTGATTCAGAGCCATACTTGCACAGGGCGAGGCGCCAGCTTGCGCATGAGCCTCCTAAATGGCAGATGAGATGCTCTGCTGGAATATTCCTATTATCAGTGTAAAGCACAGAGTCATCGCGTATAGTTTCAGGGGTTCAGACTTTCCATTAACCTCTGTGATTTCAATTTACTACCTGTAGTCACATCGGACTAATGAATGTTAGATTACACTGAATTACATTATATAGCCGTGCTGTTATTCAGCAGGTAGGATATTAATCTAATCCAGTCAGTATGTTCTTTAGAGTCTGTTTGAAATAATGTATATTGTTCAGTTAATAGCAGGTAACGGCATTTCTCTCTGTCATACAAAATACCATTATGCTCCTGTCTGCTTTCTGACCCCTCTCCAACCCCTGCTGTTTGAAGAAACGTATTGATGTTTTTCAGTGTGCTTTAGTCTGAGAGATGAGTGAAAATGATTTGAATCAATTTTGCCAGTTTTATCAGTGCATCTTGGAGAATTTTAATTACATGCCTTGTTTGCTTTAGAATGAAACAATTCAAATGCCCTCTGCGTCCTCTCAGCCATGTTCTGCCTTTTTTTTCCCACGCAGAGAATATGAAAAGAACAAAGTATCTTTGTTTTATAAATGGCATCTGAGAACCTAGCACTTTTCTCTCAACAGGAAGCATAATTTCGAGGCAAAGCTAATTATAATTGCTTTTGTGAAGATCTGTCTGATACGTATTGTTTCAACCTGTACTCCATTGGAATCCGTTTTGTTGACAGCCATTTTGTTCGCTGCATCTTCATCTGGAGATGTCAGAGAATCCCTACACGTCTGGACTCATCACCAGCAAAAAGTCTGTGCCAGGGATCATTGTGGCGACAGGTAGAGTTACCTAAAGCAAGAGCATTTGATTTATAGATTAAACTGATTAAAGGTATCCCTACTTTCTCAGATAAATGCACAGTGCAACCACAAAAACAAACAAAAATGAATCACACAGTGCCCTCTTTCTGTCATTGAAATCAGATACTGAAACTTCAACTCCTAAATCTCTTATTTTGGAGGAGATGATTAGGTTGCAGTAAGTCATAAACGTGTCCTCCAGTGGAAATTGAGGGCATGCACAGATTCAAAAAACAACTCTTAACGATTGTACCAGGTGATGGTTTATATAGGTGTGTTATGGAGTCTTTGCTATGTAAATACAGACGGAGTAAAATTATTCATGTCTTTGTACTCAGGGAATACCGGAACAGAACTGTCCTCCACTAACCTTGGGATGTTTATAACATCTGATGCAGGAAATAGCTGGAGACAGGTGGGTCAGCACACTGCATGCATTTATCTTAAACAGATTATGTATTCATATTGAAAATGTGTTGAAAATGTGTTTTTTTTCAATGTGCACCAATACAGATTTTTGATGAACAGCACAACGTTTGGTTTCTTGACAACGGAGGGGCTTTGCTGGCAGTCCTACATGCAACAGCGCCTATTCGACACTTATGGTAGGTGTAGCTACTGTTCAACAATAGCAGACATCGTAATTACTGTAGGATATACACCTTAGGTGTAATTTGAGTGTTCTCCCTGTTTTTGATGCAGCATATGATTAAATTTAATGTTTTGAAATGCTGATGGGCCAAGTTTGCATGGTTATTATATCGGCACTGCAGCTTCGGAACTGTCAGAATCATTTCCAACAGAAGAGAGTCTGTTACAGCTTTGTACTCTTGGTTGGATATGATGGTTTGAGTGCTTTTATGTAAATGTAGAGTGGAGCAGGGTAGAAATATGAGACTGAGAATGCCCCATAAGTCCCTCATATTGCGGGGGCTTTGTAACACTATCTACTTTGATGTCCCTGCACATTACAGCCCTGTCAAAAGTGATTAAGCTCTAGGAAAGGTGATTTGAAACCCCCCAAATCTATTTCTAATGTTACAACCTGAGTCATATCTCTCTTTTCCATTGTTTTGTCACCTTCAAAAATTTCCCTGGGCAGAGGAACATTTGTTCTATTGTTCAGCTCGGTGTCGAGATAATTTTTCACATTGAAGAGAATCTTAGGTGCTCCATTTTTCAACTGTGGCAAAAGCTAAATCACCTGACATTTTGTTTTAAAATCATATTTCTGTGTACCTTGTTTTTCCCTGCTCCTGTGTACTTGTGATGTTTAATGTGACATGCATAGAGAAAACAATATATTTACAAGCCACTGCAGAGAGATGAACATAGATGGATAGACAGAAAGACGGATGTTCATGTGTTGACAGCTGTTGTTGTTTTTTTTTTTGTTTTTTTTTTGTTTTTTTCTTGAAGGATCAGTCTAGACGAAGGAAAAAAATGGGACCGACACAGTTTCTCCTTGGCCCCTCTGTATGTGGACGCAGTTTTAATGGAGCCAGAATCTGACAATCACATTATCACGTAAGCAGAGACAGACAAGTACAGTCCAGCAGGAATAAAACACACATTATCATGCTTGAGGAATTTGCTCTTCTGTTTATGTAAATAAAGAAAGGTCCACCTATCTTGTCTGTCGGCGTAAATTAATGAGATTTGCAAGTGCTACTATAATAGTACACCATCATATCAGAAACCTGTATATCTGTATCTCAAGATGGTTTCATCTAAAATCTGTGTTTTGGTGACTCATCTTCCAGTTTTTTTGGACACTTCAGTCATCGGTCAGAATGGCAGCTGATCAAGATCGACTACAAAGGCCTCTTTAACAGGAGATGCATGGATGGAGATTATCAAACATGGAACCTGCACGACAAGGTTACAGGGATATTAAACATTATTGATTTATTGTCAGCTTAAAGAGATGCACGTTTATCCGTCGTCTCTGTACAACATAGCACACTCGCTTAATGCATGAACCACATTTTTTCATTTCCATCTCTCTTTTCTTTCAAGAGTTTCTTTCAATCTTGTGATAAACGAAATCATGTTTTTCTTTGTTTGATAGGGAGAGCCGTGTGTGATGGGCGAGAAGCAGATCTTTATGAAGCGCACGCCAGGCAACCGTTGCATGCTGACCCAGGACTATTCGAGGATCTATACCTCAGAACCATGCCTCTGCACAGCCTATGATTTTGAATGGTAAGGACTTCTTCTCTTAGCTTTCCCAACTACGATTATACGGTAACTGGGACTTTTATCCCTCTTTAATTTCTTTCATTACGTGTTTACCAAACATACATTTGTAATCAAAAACAGATGGTATCAGTTTGCAGAACTTCATAGCCTTAATATCCATCTTACATTCCACTTTTACTTGAAAAACAATATGACTGTAATCATTAAATCTAATTATAGTTTTGAGTTTGTACATGGGAGTTAGGAACTTTTCATTGTGCTACTGTAATTTGCATAATGTCAAGTGACTTATTAGAATTCAATTAATTATGAATCGTTAAATGAATTTTAAATATAATTTATCAATCTGTTGGAAATTCTGTTTGATCCTGCTTGTCTGACAATCATGTCCCTAGTTATGGTCTTAAAATATGCGATGAAGTGCCAACTGCAAAGCATTTGCCCCACTACAAAAGCTTGTAGAAGCTAGATTATTTGAGGTGCAGTGTTTATCATTTCATGAAGTGTCATCTTTTGTTGACAGTGATTATGGGTGGGAACGCCAGGCGGACGGGAAGTGCTCCCCTGCTTTTTGGTTTAATCCAAATGGTGCGACTAAAAGCTGCAGGCCCAGCCAAAGCTTTCTTAACAGCACAGGGTAAGTGGCCCCCAGTGTTTAATCCATCACAAAACAATATCATTCCACTCCAGCTTGTTTGTCACGTTGTCTTGAACACAAACAGAAAATAATGGTTCGCTTTCTCAATGGTTCAGAAAAAAAGCCTCTCAGTAGAGCTGAAAAAAGTAACCTAATTCCATAATACATAATGATGCTGAGCCTGGTTTTGAGTTTGCAGCATGTTTCCATTTTAAAAGTAACAAAATTGGCCAGGGTGCATTATACTGTAAATCGGTGTGCTGTCGATGGACACTTTCCTCCCACAATGAATTGCCGAATTGACAATGAGGAGCATGAAAACATATTCTGGATGTTGGTGAAACAGCTCCGAAACACAAACAAAAATAAAAACATTTTGCCCTCTCTTTGTGAAGTTATATTGAAAGTCGCATTCTAAAGTTTCAGTGTGATTGATATCAATTGCCGCAAGTCTTCATTCACCAAAGTACATCGATTTTTGCAAATTTGTATACTATTCAAATTAGTATGGTATATAAAAGTATGTAAAACAGGATTTTGACACTTTTTTTTGCTTTATGTTTCAAAGATATCGAAAGGTTTTGTCCAATAACTGTAAGGAGGGAGGGAGGAACGTGTACTCGCCCAAGAGGCAGGCGTGTCGTCCCAGACCCCCCCGAGGTCTAAGGCTGTCCACCAGTCAAGGAGAACTCAGTGCCACTGTTGGAAGCAACGTTACTTTCATGGTCTACCTCGATGATGTGAGTTGTATCGCCGAAAATCACTGTTGTGTTATCAGTAGCTATAGTTCCGGTAATTATTTTAAATTTCAATAAGTCTAGCATGACTGCATGCTCTGTGAGCTAAATGCTAACGTGAACATGCTAATATGCGCTCAATAACAATCATAATATGCTGATATTTTGCAGCTGTAATGTTTACCACAATCACCATCCTAGTATAGTGTGTTAGCATGCTTACATGTGCTATTTAACACTAAACACAGCGTACAGCTGAGGCTGATTACTGCCATACGTTTTCTGAGTGTCTGGTTGTACAAATATTGTTCAGTATTAGAGAAATTAAGATTTTGACATGATGATGGCGCTACATAAAAGGTCAGAGGAAATGTAGTTATTAGGGGGCATTGAAGTGTGAATGAAATGACATGACAATCAATATATTTTCTGTTTTTGAGATATTTACTCAAAACTAAAATTGTTGAGTCTTGAAATGTCTTATTTTTTATGTTTTGAAAAGAAGCCCTATTGACCTTTTCATATTAGTCTGGCAGAAAAACAGATATCGCAAAGTAGGGTGAAATAAAACCAAAGCGATCTGCATAGCTACATGCCACAAGGGAATAGTGAGAAAGCACTTTTTAGTTGAGCTGCTGGATTATTTTATCAGCTAGCAAGATGGCACCAGATGATAAACAAATCCTAGGGACACTTTCATGACCTCTGTTGCACTCTTTTTACTTTTCCTCTTCTTGTCTCAGTTGAATTTCTGTCTCCCTACATTCATATCCACCTGCAAAGTGTTGTGACGCAGCTTGTAGGACATCTCAGCCCAAGCACTTTAGAAGTGGACTGTGCTTATTTCACTTGTATGTGATTGTGTTGAAGCATCCTGACCTAAGCTGTAGTGACAGATGCCATGTGTTACCACCTGTCCACAGGGAGACTCGTTGAGGACCAGCATCCAGCTAGACTTCGGGGACGGCATTAAGATCACATACTCTAACCTGAGCAGGGCCGATGATGGCATCAACCATGTCTACAGAACGACTGGGATTTACAGAGTGACAGCTTCTGCTGAAAACAACCAGGGATCTGACAGCAGCACACTGTTTTTACACATCACCAGTATGTGAATAAGAGACATCATTTCTCATCCCTGCGGCAGTGCACATAGCATGAGTCTCTTACCTTTCATGGATAGTCACGTTCCCACTCTGCTGAATTTCTTTTTAGTCATGGCTGTAATACTTTTATGCGTTTTAGCCTTGTAAAATGGAAATACACACACCTGGAGCTAAAAACGCTCCATGTTTGATGAATTTATGTGTGTTTTACTCATGCCTGCATTTGCACACGTGTGTAATGCATGTATTTATGTATGTGGTGGTGTATTTGTTGCTGCCGCAGGTCCAGTGGAGCGTGTATATCTCTCCACTCCTATTGTAGCCATCAGGGGGAAGGAGGTTAATCTGACTGCGGTGGTATGGCCGAGTCACACCAGAACATTGACCTTCTTCTGGTGGTTTGACAACAGCTCCGAGGTGAGAAGCTTCTACTCCCACTCCAACTATTGTTCCAGGGCCACTTTTTGTTCTGTTTACTGCAGTCTTTTCCATCTTCTCTTGATGTCCTTGTGGTGTTGGTATCAAAGTGTAAATCTTAAAAGCCCTCACACAAATCATGTTAAATGTGACTGCACGTGACTTCACTGTGTCTTTCTGGAGAATCCAGACAGGAAGGCTGGTTGTATTTATTAATCACGCTGATTGTGTTCACTGCAGCACTACCTCATTATACAGTATGTCAAGGGCTGCATGTACGTAGTATTCTATATTCGGCTGAGAGGATGCAGGGTTTTTTTCTGAAATTCCCTGTGTTTTTCCTTTTAAATTTCAGCCCATTATAACCTTGGAGGGAAGCATTTCGTACACATTTCAGAGGGAAGGAAAAAACAAGGTCACGGTCCAGGTTGCTTCTGGGAGCACCATAATGCAGGATTCAAAAGTTATAAATGTTAAAGGTGAGTGGGGGAGACGGTCTTCAAAGCACTTTAATTGGTGTGATGCACGTTACATGAATATGCAATATGCTTTCTCGGGGAAAGCATGATGCCTCTCGGTCCACGCTGCAAGCAACGCCACGTTGTTGTCAACATGGACTTATCTAATGAATAAAATGTCACGGAGGGCGAACACGAAATCTTGAGGAGCAATTAACTTCAAGGCGTATGTTGCCAAATGAGAAAAGACAAAACTGCACATCAGATTAATCAAAAACGAAACCAGAATTAACATTCATATTCTAACAGACATCAATTTGCCTTTTTTTCCAGAATTCTTCAGGTCGCTGCTGTTGTCATTCTCGCTAGCTCTTGATGAGCACAATCCTGACATCCCAGAGTGGAGGGAGGACATAGGCCGCGTGGTGCGGACAGCTCTGTCACGGGTACATAGAGAACATATTGCTCTGAGGTCTTTCCAGCAGCCATCGGCCACCAGCGGCTTTCACGGCCATTACTATTTTATATCTGTGTGCAGTATTGATAAGGCAGTCACAATTTGTTATGGTCCATGTGTGTAATTTTTCCTTTGACGACAGTAACCAAACACTGTTATTTAGTGTGAATTTGAATTCAAGTTGATGTCAAAATGTGGATGTTTGGCTATTTTTACTTTATTGTCCAAAGTTTAGAAGTAACAGTCCAAACTTAATACCTGCCTGTTGTCTTGTCGTTGCAGGTATCTGGGGTCCCTGAAGATCAGCTTCTGGTGTCTTTGTATCCTGGACTTCCATCTACAGCAGAGCTCTTTATCCTGCCTGATGAGCAGACATCAAGTGAGCACAAGAGAGGGAGTGAGGAGGCTCTCGAGACGGTAAGAACCATGATATATAGAAATATAAAATTTCTTATCATGTGAAGTTTACAGTATGAAAAAACAATCTGAACGCATTTGCCAAATCAACAAATTATACCTGGCTTATTTATTGTGTACACAATAGAAATGTAAAAAGGACATGTTGTTTTAGGGGGCGTTAAATGCTGTAACATGTGAATTAGTCAAATTTCGGGGTGTTTGTAGCTGAATTTTTGAACTATGGAGAGAGCCAGGCTAGCTGTTTCCCCCTGATCACAGTCATTATGCTATGCTAAGCTTATTGCCTCGTGGCTAAACCTCCATACTCAACATACAGACATCAGAGTGATGTCAATGTTCTCATATTACTCTTGCAAGAATCATATTTGTTGAACTATTTTTTTAAAGAAGTGCTAGTTATGATTTACCAGTTCATAATATGATGAATGCATGACGATGTTTTACGTTACAGAGACTTTATTTTTATTTATTGTAGCATAATATATCATTCTCTGTTTTTGTGTCTTACCTTATACCTAAAACAGATATCCGATATTTTTGTCACTGCCCTGAACCAAGGCCTGATCCAGTTTGAGCTGAAAGCGGATATTCACATTATTGTGTACATGACTCAGCAAACTTTGGGTGAGTTTGTTTTTAACCTGCCCATTGTTCCTGCATGCTTGGACCAACTGTTGCATCTAAAAACCTTTTGCAGGTACATCAAAAAGTGTTCAAATAGATATTAGTCTTAATTTATGCCAATTTAGTACAGTACTAAATACTAAATACTAAAGTCTATCTGTGCTGTTTACAGTTAAAAGTTAAACCGTGTGTCTTTTTTATGATTTAAGATTGAGTATTCCCCAAACACTGAAAAAATAAGACAAAGACAACTATAAACCCTGAGTGAAATTCATATAATACTGTATACCACAGTACATCAGTTTTGCACTTGAGGCTGTGAGACAGTAGTTCTCTTTTGAAATCAGCCACTCAATCACACGATTGACAAAGAGGGCATTTGGTATGCAATGAGGAAATCGGCAGGGTCACTTGATCATTAGCATATCGCAAAAAACGTGTCGATCAACCCTGCTCGGCTTTACCCTTTTCATCCACCAACGGATCTGTCTTCATTTGTGTCTGCATACAAAGGTCTGGGTTGCCTTTAAAATGATCCAGAAAGGTCAAACTTCATAGGCTTCTCTCTCAAGGAGAGAAAGGTGGGAGGGGGAATACTTTGAATATTGCATCTCAGCATTTAAAAACCCATGACTATGCATAAGCTGCATGACGGACCCCAGGGAGAGGCAGTGGACCTCCTAAAGATTCCTTTTAATACCCTGAGGGGATAACGTGCATAGAGCAGCTCTTCAAACTGTACCTGCAGTTGTTACATGACATGAGGTGATGAAAGGGATCTCCTTAAAATAAGACATGGTTAAGAGGAAAATTAAAGCATTTGTCTTTTTCCAAATGTGGCGCTCATTTGACGCATTTGACTTTCAGCACCACTTGTGGATTCAAACTCCATCCACAGTGGGTCAGCCATGCTGATGCTGCTCACCGTGGTCTTTGTTGGTTTAGCAGCATTCTTCATCTACAAGTTCAAAAGGTGTGTTCACTTGGATCAGGAAGTAAATTGTATTTGTATTGAATTGTATTGAATTCTCTTTTAAATCACAAACGATTTATCTTTGTTGCTCGTGAAGACCTTACACAGCAGCTCTGCTAATTCTCTGTCATTAGGAAGATCCCTTGGATCCATGTTCAAGCTGAGAATAGTCATGAGAAGGAACCGGAGGTGATCAGTACAGTCGGTCAGAATAACATGTCAAAGGTCAAGCTCAGTGAGTTTCCCTCTCCGAAAGAACTCATGGAAAAGGAGCTGGAGGCCACGAGCAGAGGTAAGTTAGCTACACATTTAATACTTGCCACCATTAACAATTAGTGGGTGGTGTACAAAATATACTGTATTTTAAGTAGTGATGGAAGAAGATTTACGTCTTTTATTTTAGTAAAATTAGCAATACCACAATTTACAATCTCTGTTAAATGTAAAACTCCTGCTTTCAAAACCTTGTAGTGTAAGTACATGTAAAGGTTGTCACTATGGAGCCAAAATGGACTGCTGTTGTTACATTATTATACATGTCGGATCATTATTATAGATGCAGGAACATGTAAACAGGATTTCAATGTTGTACCCATACAAACTAACTACCAACTGCAAGTACCAGGTGGTATAGAATTAAAATACTCTAGTAAAGTATAATTACATAACAATTGTACTTCACTTAGTTATTTTTCATAAATACATAAGTGAATGTATTTTAGGATTTAGAAAACTACAGTATTTGACAGGTGTGATGGCCCTTGATTGCTGAGACTAAATTAAATAAGAATATTCAAATCTGTATACTTTTTTGAAAATTTCAATGGCATAATATACTTTGACATTTTTATGACATCTTCATGACAGACAATATGACTACATATAACTTTTCTTGACATTTTTATGACAGACAACACTCTGACTTGACGACTAGTATACCAAAACTTTTTTATGGCATTTTTATGACATGTCATGATAACATGATATATTCATTACATACTATACAGTGAAAATTTTTAATGTGACAGTTTTCTGACATACGTAGTGTACTTTGACATTGTTATAGCAAACATTTCATGACATTTATTTGAAGACGTTTTTTTCAACATAATCTATGGATTTTTTTTGACATGCAACACGATTACTTTTTATGACTTTTTCATGACTTTTTTCAACATACTATACTATGATTTTTTATACTATACTATATCATAACTTCTTTTGACAAACTATGCTTCCTTATTTTTAATTACATTTTCATGACATACTATACTATGTTATGACATTTTAAGGAAATTGTATTGGTATACTAAATGCTCACTGACTCTAATACAGGATTTAAAGGATGACTGTAATTGTAAAAGACTGACACTGATTAACAATAAACACTGTTTTCAATACATTGTAACTGTATTTTGGTGTAGACACAAAGTACATGGTTTCAGTTTTATCTAAACAACTGTAAATTAAAGTGCAGCACACATCTACGGTACTAGAACCTCTGTATCAATGCAATGTGTCATATATGTGGAAATTGAACACCACAAGCAATTGCAGCACAGTAACCAGATATCACGATGACAAGTTACATTTTTGATTGCTCTGGCTGACATCCACAGTCATGTCTTTTAGATGACAACTACCCAGTCCCTGCAGACACTGGATTATCTGACAAAAGTAGCATTGCAGTACTCCTGACAAAGACATGTGGGCTGCAGGCTGCTTTTCTGGTCGCTCAGCACTTTGGCTATTCTTCATTTCTCAGCTGTTTGTACTTTTACAAGTCTTTGCTGATCTGAAACAAATCAACTCCTTTTTGGTGGCTTTCGAAAAATGTTTATTTACAAAAGGGCAGATCCGCATGGGACCTTTTGATCTGTGGCTCGCTAGATCAAATTTACAACCTGCTGTTTAATTAATGCTCTGAAATTTGGTTTGATTTTCATGCAGTCTGATTTGGGCTGGGGATACAAGTCTGTTGTATCCATTTTACAACAGCATATTATGATCAATCATTTGTCAGTTCAGGCCCCTGTCCAGTAATCATTCATCCTTTGTGAACATTGGCTTCATTATTCACGATTACATTGTGAATAATTCAATATGTTTATTTAATTGTGCTTGAAATATGCCTAGTATAAACTGCGTATCCCTCTGAAATATATTTTATAAAGTACATATGTTTTCATTGCTGTTAGGTAGGTCTTGCTCCAGCCAATGAAAAAAGCCCCCTACCAGTGGAAAAACATTAACCAGTTTTAATTTAATTAATGTCTGGGTTCAGTGATTTTACGTGTTCTCATTTTAGTCCAAATGGCTTTACAAGCACATAGAAAAGGCAGATTCTGCTGGCCATAGGTTTCACAGTTATAAAGGTAGAGATGAAGATTCGAATATTTAAAATAAGACGTTGCATATTAAAATGAAAATTTTAATGTAATGATGTAATGATTTATGTGATTACAAATTGGTTCTGAATGATTAACATGACAGCTCACATGGCCTCAAGCTGTAAAATAAATTCAGCACAATGCAGGAGGTTGTCTGAACAGGTTTCGTTAGTGATGTAGTTGTATTTCACAATGTGAGAAATACAAATTAATTCTATTTAAAGAAGTGTTATTTACATAATCTACTTCTTTGGTAGACATCACTCTTGTTAGATGACGCTGGATGCTCATGCACTAAGGGAGAAGTTCACTTTTTTTGAATGAAGGGTAGTGTGATGCAAGTATTTCACTTAAAGTTACATTTTTACATTGAAGAGCTACCTTAGGAGTAAAAAAGCTCTTAGTTGAGTGTGAAGAATAAAACACATTTAACAAGAAACGTATTACTTGGAGCTACTCTCAAGTAATCGCATCATTAATTATATGTATTAATAGCCAATCAGAGACAAGCACTAATGCCTAAATCTCTTTCACTGTTTATTCCTTTAAAAAAAATCCTTATTCAGTGATACAAACATTGGTAATTTACATTTTTAATTGTGTGAAATCCCTCATGCACTATAAATGATATTTTTAGACAAACAATGTAGGAATTAAATGATAATGTGGAAGAGGTCGCTCATAGTGATGAACCTACAGAGAATCACCTGAATCTCCAGCTCCCTTCTGCTTTTCCAGAGCTACAGTTTCTGTGCATTGTTTTGATTTTGTTGCCTGCATCTTTACTGCTTCGTTTGCCCTTACTACTCACATAGTGTTGTTTTGGTTGAGAAAAAAAGGTAAGAGACTGGCTGGTGAACATAGTGAAGCATTTAGCAGCTAAAGAGACACATGTTTTTTCAGGAGTTGGTAGAGAGAGATCAAAAACAGAGTTTAAAGAGACTGAATGTTGGACTTGCATTCGTCAGGTAGCTAGAAGCACAACTATAAATGAATAATAATGTTGCTCCGTAACGGCTGGATAGGTAAATAAGCAGCTGTTTTCTAGTTTGCCAAATCAACATATAAGGTAAATATGTTAATGTGGCCAAAAATGTAGTTATCTTCAGTTAAAATATGGACACCTCTAACTCTCTTAAATTTAGGAGCAAGTCTCTTTCCTTAGCTCTCTGTGTGATACAGTAACGTTTTTTTCAGCATTAGATATTTCAATCTTAAATTGTATTCTTTCAGATCTTAATTTTAAACTTCTAAACTCCCCATATCCTTTACCTTACAAATTTACTACAGACTACATATATTTTAGTCTTAAAATACGCTCATATTTTCTTTGGCAAATCTGAACTAACTGCCGGATCTTTTCCTTGATACATTTATTTACTGCCAGGTTATTAGTTATACAGGTGAACATGAAATTGGCTCCAAGCAGCTTCATACAAATCACCAAATTGAAATTACTGACAGAGTTGAGACATGAAAGTACCACCTTTGAATAAGCCAGTGTCTGCACAATCTGAACGACCCCACTTGTCAAGGCGATCCTATCTTATCAGCCCTCCATCACCAGCTCAGCCCTGCTCTAACGAAGCCATGTTCCTTTGAGACAACAGGGGGCTTTTCAGCCAATATGCATGGCTGATGAATTCATTATTAAGTGTAAAAGCGTATAAAAAATATTTGATCTCCAAGTGGAAAGATACGATGGAACACAAGATTGAATTTTGTGTTGATTGGTTGATGTTAAAGGCAGTTATTCCTTGACCCCAAAACCAATGTCATGTAGGCAAAGCAGAAATATAAAAGAAGTTGTGTTTGCAGAGTCTCTTTCATCATCATATCCTCAAAACGAAGCAACGTGTGATGTGCATGTAATGTCTAAGCAGTTGATTGTCCATTTATTTAGTCTGTTTTTATTTTTCGTTTGCATGTTTTCAGGAGGAATTGGAAGAAATATGGAGAGAATTGTTACAAGGGAATTTCCAAACTGTTCAAACGTCTAAGACTCTGTTACTGCGTAAGTACAGATTGTTGTGTTACAATTGTGCTAAAATTGTTTGCTTTGTTGGCATTGTTTTCTTTTTATATACACATTCCACTGTGATAGCTGCTATCCTTCAAAGTCATGTTTTTAACCCACATGGGTAGAGTAAGCATCTTTACAATACTTGATGAAGATCAATCCACCGAGCCAGACTCTAGGGTCTCTAGCGGTGAATTGCTGGAAATGGCTTATAAAGTTAGCCAGAAAAAAAATGTCCAATTAGCCTCAAGGTTCCCGGCTCTACATTAACGCCATCTATTTCATGGATATTCAGCTGCCATTGTGTACTTTTGATGAATGCGTCACCGCCTGTGACATATCATCATTTGTGTTAATTGGGAGGAAAATAGCAGAGGAAAAACAGAGTTCTTCAAATAATATACCTCAGAATCTATAAGAAACAGTGAAATGAGAAAAGTACCATTAAATTAACAGTTCAGTACAAGAGACATAATGTATAGGCTTCACTGTATATGTATAGATTTTTTAAAAAGTTACTTTCAATTCTGCATTGAATGACAGAGAATGAACATAACTCACTATAAGGACATTTAGGCCGTTAAGGACTATCATGATGTAGGGCTTAAAATGATGAACACACTTGATGTAATAAAAATGAAATATTACAGTACTTGTTGATAATGTTTCCCTCTAACAGACACATTGAACTGAGAAGGCTATAACATTTCTCAAGCGTAACCTTTTTATTTTGTTTTTACATTTTTTCCTTTTTCCTTATAATATAATATATATAATTGATAGATAACTTTAGTCATCATTTCATGTTTAATAAACCACATTCACGCTCTGGATAAACATTTACCGCCCTATAACTAGAGGTCTTTGAGTTGTAAATATACACTAATGAATATTTATATTAGAAATGTCAAAATCTGACTGTTGTGAATGCTCATGAGAAAGGAATATCGGAAAGGAATATGGAGTTGGTTTTGCTTTGTAAGTTAACATGGTGCTTTAAATGACTCATCAGATGATGGTACACAACGGAAAATGTGACGTTGAACATGAACGTATGGCCTTAGAAGGAGAAATATTGTAAACTTGTACATAGAGAGAGAAGGAATGTAAAGGAATGTACAGTAGCATCATCCTACTTTAATGTAAGGTTGACTTACTGAACAGTTAGTAGGTTAGTATGTTTCTATGTACTTCAGTCTCACAACAAACTGTATGTCATCTTTTTCATTTGTTAGATTTTTTTTCCAGTAGCATGCCCTAATAATCTGTGATAAAAGATATAATATATTAGGGAGAGCAAGTACTTTATGTATGTATACATATATATGTATACGTATATGTATATACACGCACACAATCATTATTGGTTTTAAAGTTTCATTAAACAAATAATTGACACCTTGTCTAATAGTCTAGTTGTGCAAATGCAAAAAGTTGTGCATGATCTATGATATTGTTCATTTTTGTCTGATATATAAATTGTCTTGTTTTGAATCATATTTCTTACTGTGAACAAATTGCCATTTTTAAATTGTTCAAAAATAAATGTATTTTTATATTGAATCATGTGTATCTATTATGCATGCACCCAACATTTCTGTTGAAATGGAAGATGTAAGAATATAATATAGTTTACACTCTTGTCTCCTGGCGGAAGGATGCGAAGACAGATTTCTTTGGCTGCCAGTGAATGAGAAATGTCTGCATTGTCATGACATAAACCTGAAAACAAGATTCATGAAGCGCGTGTTATCTGAAAGTCAGGTGCCTTGTAGCAGCCAGCACATCAGTCTCAGCATTACACTTTTAATGATCCCTCAGAGGCTCTGAAGTCAGCTTTAATGGGCAGAAGTGGGATAACACCCATGTGAAGATTCCAATCCGACACTTTGACTGAGCTTCATTTTACCTCTATCACTCAAGTTGCCAGTTACAGATGGTTTCTATTTAATGGGAACAATTACTGAGGCAGTAGTTGGATGATGAGGAACGGACGATTTTGTAAAGAACTACTGCCGTTAGTATTGCTCATTCTCTGTTCTCCGAGTTAGAAAAAAAAAGAAGCCTTTCACTTTAAAATGGCAAAGAGACAGAAAGGTTTGGAGGGCAGAACTGTGTGGCTGATTGGCTGAAATGATTCTTCACGCACAAAGATGCAGCAACAAGGCCCTTGTCCCTTTGTTTTGCATTTTGTTTGCCACCTCAACAGCTTCATATCGCACACCAATCTCCATCACTCCCAACAGTCATCAACGCCCCGAGAGTCTTATTCTCGGTCCTGCTCTCAGTCTGAATTAACACCGAGGCCTTTCTCTAACTGCCCTGGGATGTTCGGCGGTGCACAATCAAATTGAACGGTGACAATCCCTAATGGATGATTCGCTGCAGCCAGACACTAATGTAGCACTCAATGAAAGGAAACATGCTCATCAATTTCACACTGTGGCTAACACAATATTGCTGTGGGGTTATTGTTGTGGGACATTTTTCATTCAAGGTGCAACCCATTCTGGGAAAATCTTCCTTGATTGTGTGTGTGTGTGTGTGTGTGTGTGTGTGTGTGTGTGTGTGTCGATTTCCTGGAGAGGGGATAATTAATTTGTTGCACAGTGGGAGAGCCAAGGAACTAGCCCATTAGAATCACTCCAGGCTACTTGCTGCCTTTCATTGTCCTCCTGCTCGGCCCTATTGTATCATGCAAATGGATGAACTGAAACTTTGAGTGTGCTAAGCAACACTTGTTAGAGACAAAGCAGAAAAAAGCAACAAATTCGAGTGAGGGTGCCCGTCGATCAAACTTACCAGTTTGAGTCATAGCTCCGCCCTTTATGAAATTGACTAAATCAAAGGTCAAACACAACTAAATGCTGCAGTGAACCACATGGATTTTAACAGACAGCAAAAATATATAAAGCGCTTTATGCTTTGGGGAAATGAGTTCAACAATCTGCCACACTGCATCAATGTTTAGTTTCTGCTTTATTCTGCAACCATGGTTACTTCTGCGAAATCAAATGAAAAACACAGGAACAGCAAGTCGCTTGTAATGAATGAGCTGTCCAGCCTTTGAGAAATGGAAAATACTGCAGTTCACATTACATTTTTCTTTTCTAATTAAGACACATTTTTACCATCTTGAAAGAGGGGGGGGGGGGGGAATCATCATGCAAATATGTTTACAGTCCTATTCACAGGTTTATTATTGGGACTCGACAAAAACTCTCTGATGATCGGTGTAGAGAGACAGCGTTCGCCTGACGACGAGAAAGAGTTTATTTATGCTTCAGGCTCAATCGCAGGGTTGGAGGAAAGAAGTATGGAGAAGCCTCCAGTTAATTTGTCTCACTGACATATGATGCTGACAATACTTAAAAAGAAAAGTTGGATGAAGAAGAACTTCAGTACTTATCCCAAAGAGACAGCGGCTGACCAAAGCTCTGTGCGTAGGCTGAGCCTTGTTGACAGGAGATACGTCTTCTCTATCTCCGTGTCCCTTGCAGCGAAGGAGATGAACAAATCCGCAGCCTTTTGTGCGCCGAGTCCTTGGGGGCAAACCTAGAACAGACCGCCGGCTCCTGAGGAAATGCCAGGTGGAGATGCTGGTAACATAGTGGTAGATAAACAGTCCAGAATAAATAAAAAGGTGTCAAATGAGAACATGTTTCCGTTAAATCCTGGTGTGGTTTTAGTGTTGCCATACTTCCTGTAACCTTCACAGTGATGCTCAGTTCAAAGAAAAACATGAAAAATGTTTTGTAACTGTGTCAAGGAGCTCAAGTCTTTTAACTTCATGGTGGTACATCAGACAAACAAATAGCTAATGAATCTTAAACAAATAAGTAGTTAATTAAAATACAGATCTAGCACTTTTCACTACATCACAGTATGTGTTTGCGGCTGTAACCATAGCTTTTTTTTTTGGTAACACAGGAATTATTCTTAAGTTTTTACATTTAGCTCTATTTATAGAAACCAGAATGTACAAGAAATGCTCTGGGCAACAGATATGTACGAAGCACAAGTTTAAAAGTCATTGCGTTGTTTAACAAGTCGAATTGACTGTAAAACAATCAAATGTAAGATTTCCGCTGCACAAATAATCCATATGCATGATTTAGATTGGAAATTTGTGAATAATCTGTCTAAAGTAGGTTTGACATTAATCATGTTGGCTTCCATTCCACTGTCACTAAAATGACTTATTTGAGTCTCCTACACAAGAGGGATTGCTCAGTGTCTCGTCTACTGTATATAACAGACTAGTATATTTCCCCTTTAATCTTCTGTTGTTATTTTTGTTGTGACATTTATAACATTTTGAGCGGCAAAGAGACGGGCTTCATGGAATACACAGATCTGGGACAAGGAGCCCTCCCTCATCTCCTGGATATTGCAAGCTTTCATTTGATGAGAATCTGGTGATAAGATTTACTGATTGTACAGAGCTTAATGAATCTGCTTCCCTCACTGTCTTAATCAGATAAGCTATTTAAAGTAAACTTCACAAACACAAGCCCAGAGAACAGAAATAGGAACATAGGATATTATTATACATCACATCTGCCCAGCTGTGTGATATTTTCATATTTGGGCAGACGCAGCTGTAACCAGCTGAGACAAATAACTTTTACTTTTCCCATTATGGATGTACATTATTTACATAAAAAGATCAATGTCCTTGCAAAAATACAAGTATTTTCAGTCAAAAAGTGTCCCCTTTGAAGAAGCAAGTATAAATCTGTACAGTCTCCTCAGAGGGATTAGGCAGCACAGTGTGAACTGGTCCATCGATGCAAGGGTAGCGAAACACTCGAGACCATTCATTGTGACCGTGGTTTCATAGCTTGCTGGAAGTAACTGCCAAAAAAGATGTATTGCTTTCGAGTTGGTCATAGACTCGCAACATTAAAACACGTGGGGCGCTTCATCAGAGAGCTTGATGTCAGTGTGAGATGGCAGGTAGCCTGACAAGGGAGAAAAAAAAGAGAGACACAGAGGAGGAATTTTATGTATCGATTTGCATACGGGTGTATTTTTTGCAGGCAAACACATTTATCTTGGATGGGTCGATTGTTTAGAAGTAAATCAACTGGAACCTCATAGATATTTCTTGATGAAAATGCTTTCACCACTCCGCTACTTTCCTGATGCACTAATTATTTTATTGGGTCAAATAATTCACCCAGACATTCTCATCACTTTAGCTTGCACTAGATTGTGCTTCACTTACCTGTGAATACTAATACCTTGCTGTGACAAACTCAGGCTGACAAATACATAAATATACTGCACATAATAATAACGGTGTCTTGGTATCTCGTGTATGATAATACGGAGGCAGGGGGAATAGCATCAGTACTTAACAATAAGCGAATATCATGTATCTTCAACTTGAGACCACTGTTTCTCTTTGGCGGTGCAGTTTTTAACATGCGACATTTTTGACAATTTTATTTACTGTACTTAAGAGTCAATTCACACAAAACAAATAAACATTTTCTCACTTAACCCTTGTGATATGTAACTATATGTATAACTACACCTATTTGAATTGTTTTGGTTTTACGTACTTAGGTGGTGGGATATCTGTTTCTGTGATTTATACCACAATTCAAAAACAAAGGGGGTGAATTACATGTTGTTTGTGTGGGGCTCATAGCATTAAAATAATTACATTTCAGAAATGTAACAGCAACAAGTCTTTTCACAAACAATGTTCAGGTTAAGGTACGGTCACATTAGCCATATGTTTGATCAAACTGTTGCAATTTTGGTATGGCAATGAACATTTTCAGAGCAATAGTCAAACTGTAAGTGGTTTATGGGAGTGAATGCTGCAGTATGTGGTCTGGTAGAGTAATAGTGAACATAAATAATTGATTGCACTTCTAGGAAGTTTGCTTTGTATTTCTTTGTCATGCCAAACATTTGGCCCATCCTACATGGATTCAAATATAACTACTGATTAAATCATACACAAAGCAAAAAGAAAATCATCAGTTCTAACATTATATGTACTTCTACGTACTCTCAAACAATATATATTCATGTGCAAAACAAGTTGAGCATTAAATAGCAGCACAAAGAAAAGAAAAGCTACGAGCTTAAAGTTTATCCTGGTTAAAGGTTGTTTTTTTCCTCATCTATGTTCTCCAAGTCACTGGCTGACATAAATGTTTTGTATGTGAATAGCTAATTTGAAGTCGTTTGTACTAATTAACAAGAATAATAACTACATTTCCAAAACACAGTGCATCACTGTTTCTGCCAATTAGCAAGGAAAACACAAGACAAGTGTCTAGGACATGCAGCGGAACAGGAAGAGCATCCTTGTATTTGTCATGCAAAGAATATGGGCTTCAACTGAAGTGATAGAAGTGTAATGTCACCGTTTACGGCTTTACTCATTATGTGTCACTGTGAACAGTTTTTAAAGCAACGACTTTATACTAATGAAATAGTTGCATATCTCTAAACCTTGGCAAATATATCCACTACCACCAACTACCACTAAAGAAAATGTTTTTTTGTCATTAGGATGAATTGACATTTTAGCTAGCGCTGCAGTCTTTATGACCAGCACACACAAAGACAACATTTGTTGCATTGAGAACAGTGCAGGTGGCGATAACCTGAACTTATTTTTAGGTGCAATACCACAGACCGAATACTTACTTTGACACATGATAGAATAAAACACTTCATCAAGAATAGACCCTCATTGTTCAACATACAAATCTGAAAATAACAACGAGAAAAAATAGCTGTAGCTTAAAGGGAGGAACATAATTACCTCTGCCTTTTGAGTCCAACTGT